TTCTCGAGGAGGTCAACGGTGAGAGTGGTGGGGCAAACTGAGAGGAAGTGGTCCCTGACTACGCGAAGGAAGTCAGGGAGGCGGGTGACTATGTAGTAGAGGGTGATGTACTTGGGGGGGGGGGTTCTTGGCGCAGAACTCAGCAGGAAGCGCAGCGCGGTAGCGAGTGTCACTAGTGCGGAGGTGCGTAATGAGGTCAGCGACTGTGGGAAAGGCAGCAAGGTCAGGGAAGAGGTACGGTAGCATGAGGCGGCTCAGTGCAGCAATGGCATGGGAGGAGTAGCATGCAACTACACCGTAGTACAAGGTCTGAGCACTCTTGTACTGGCTAAAGTGTGCACGCTCAGAGGTAGGCAGGTGGCGACGCACAGCAAGACGTGCAGCAGCATCGCGAGTGGCCCACTGTGAGCGAACAGTGGCGTCAGTGTCAGCAGTGGGGGCAGGAGAGGCACCAGAAGTGAGGTCAAAGAGGGAGAGGCCGTCTGCCCTATCGCACTGTAAGAAAAGCTGCAGGTCATCTATCCAGACGTCAAAGTCAATGGCCCGACCCTCAGCGTCAAAAGCGAGGACACTAGGGGTAGCCATGACAGCAGTAGACTAGCAGCGCAAACAGTAGGGTGAGGGCAGTGCTATGAAAGAGGCGCTGCTCTTACCGGACAGGGCGGCTCGGGCGGCTCTGCTGCAGGGCGACTCGGCGGCTCGGCAGCTGGGCAGCTCGGCAGCTCGACTGCTGGGCGGCTCCGCGGCTCGGCTGCTGGGCGGCTCGGTGGCTCGGCTGCTGGGCTGCTCGGCGGCTCACCTGCTCGGCTGCTGGGCGGCTCGGCTGCTGGGCGGCTCGGCGGCAGGGCGGCTCGGCTGCTGGGCGGCTCGGCGGCTCGGCTGCTGGGCGGCTCGGCGGCTCAGCTGCTCGGCTGCTGGGCGGCTCGGCTGCTGGGCGGCTCGGCGGCAGGGCGGCTCGGCTGCTGGGCGGCTCGGCTGCTGGGCGGCTCGGCTGCCGGGCGGCTCGGCTGCTGGGCGGCCCGGCAGGGCCGCTGAGAGGGCGTCGTCCGGGGCCGCTGGGAGGAGGCGGCGCCAGCAGGTAGGTGGCGGGGCCGCACAGGTAGGTGGCGGGGCCGCGGGTAGGTGGCGGGGCCGTAGGTAGGTGGCGAGGCCGCTGGTAGGTGGCGGGGCCGCAGGTAGGTGGCGGGGCTAGTAGGTAGGTGGCGGGGCCGCACAGGTAGGTGGCGGGGCCGCGAGTAGGTGGCGGGGCCGTTAGTAGTTGGCGGGGCCGCACGTAGGTGGCGGGGCCGCTGGTAGGTGGCGGGGCCGCAGGTAGGTGGCGGGGCCAGTAGGTAGGTGGCGGGGCCGCACAGGTAGGTGGCGGGGCCGCGAGTAGGTGGCGGGGCCGTCAGTAGGTGGCGGGGCCGCAGGTAGGTGGCGGGGCCGCTGGTAGGTGGCGGGGCCGCAGGTAGGTGGCGGGGCCAGTAGGTAGGTGGCGGGGCCGCACAGGTAGGTGGCGGGGCCGCGAGTAGGTGGCGGGGCCGTCAGTAGTGGCGGGGCCGCAGGTAGGTGGCGGGGCCTATAGGTAAGTGGCGGGGCCATCACGGAAGGCGCCGGTAAGGGCGGCGTCAAGGCCGCAGGGCGGCGCGAGGGCCGCTGGGTGGGCGACGAGGCCGCAGGGCGGCGGATCGGGGCCGGGAAAGGGCGGCGCGATGGCCGTGGGGTAGGTGACGAGGCCGCTGGGCGGCGGGTCGGGGCCAGGAAGGGCGGCGCGAGGGCCGCAAGGCCGGCGACAGGGCCACTAGGGCGGCGCGACGGGGCGAGAAAAAGGGAGCGCGACTCGGGCTAGGGCTGAGCGCGCTCCGGGCAGGAAAAAAAAAGTCGAATTGGTGGGCCCTAGGAACAGTTCCCACGAGGGAACCTACTCGATACCATGAGAAAAGTGAAACGAGAATGAATGAACTATGAATGAATTGGGTACAAGTACTAACCCTAATTGGGTTGTACCCCTTATGGGCTACCCCACTATAGCCTACACAATATGCATGAGCTATATGTTCTGACACCATGACCCACCTGACGAGCATTGACTTGCAACTTAGCTCAGGCTTCAGTGTAGAGGGCATCAAGCACCTTTACTGGCTGTCACGCCTGCACAAACTTAATCTTAACAGCATGCACGTCTCAGATAATGCCTTGGAAGGCATTGGGTCCTTGGCCAGTCTCAAAACCCTCTTTCTCTGTTGTGCCAATGTGACTGATGCTGGTCTGCCGCACTTGACAGGTCTCTCCTCTCTCAAAGTGCTGTGGCTTTCTGAGTGCAATGGTGTGACGAATGCTGGAATGGTGCACGTGGGGAAGCTGAAAAGGCTTCGGAGGCTTGCTCTGGGTGGCACGGCAGTCACGAATGATGGGCTGCAACAGCTGACTGCCCCGACAAAGCTGACAGAACTCCGGCTGCCCAAAGGGGGTTGCCGTTTCAACAATGATGTATGCAAGGTGATTGGCAGGAAAAGTGGCAGGGAATGATGATGAAAAGGGCGGTAAGGTAAGGGAAGAGTTGATTGTGACTGTCTAGGGGAGACTCAGGAGAGGCGTGGAGGCAAGAGGTGTGAAGAATGAGGGGAGGCATGAATGCGGAGGAGTGAGGCATGGCATGGAATGGTGGTTGTGCACGGCTCAACTTGTTTACTGCGAAGCATTGGAGAATGGTCAAGTGGCTCGTGCCTTGCAGGTGCACAGGAGCAGGTGGGGGGCTGGTTGGGTACAGGCCCTCAAAAGTCAGACTCTTTTCTCTGATTTGGCAAAAATCCTCTGAGATTTCAGATTTTTTTTCCAATGTACTCTGACAATTTCAGACTTTTTAAGGCCTCAACTCTGAAAGTTTCAGACTTTGTTGAAGGCTAACTCTGAAATTTCAGAGTTTTCTGGGAGTGTACTCTGATCCCACGAGCGTTTTAGCGAGTACCTACTCTAACCCTGACAGCCGCGTTCAGCGCTGGAAGTGCCGTACAATTGTCGTGTCAGTCAAGCTAAAACAGTGACAGCAGCGCGGCGGCGAGGTTATCTCCCCGTTTTAGGCTGAAATAGGCTTCTTTACTGAATGTGAACTTTCGTTATCAGACTTTTATACAATTGAACTCTGAAATTTCAGATTTTTTTTTTTTTTTGCCAAGTCTGATTGATCAGAAACAAAGAGTGTACTAAGTCTGACAAATTAGACAGCCCAAAAACGAATCTGAGGGCCTGGTTGGGTAAGAGGCCACTGTGTGCATGAGGGAAGCTGCATAGGAATTGCCTGCCTGGCTTTTCTTATGATGGAGTGAGAAGCGGTCATCAGCAGGGGAAAGCGGTCATCAGCAGGGGAAGCGGTCATCAGCAGGGGAAAGCGGTCATCAGCAGGGGAAGCGGTCATCAGCAGGGGAAAGCGGTCATCAGCAGGGGAAAGCGGTCATCAGCAGGGGAAAACGGTCATCAGCAGGGGGGGGCGGAGAAGAAGGGGAGGGGGGAGGCGAGGCGGAGCAGGAGGGGAAGGGTAGGGGAGGCTGGGGAAAAGGGCGACAAGAGAGCAGTGAGGGAGGCAAGCATGGTGGGCGGCAGCAGTGGCAGCAGCAGTGGCAGCAGCAGTGGCAGTGACGGGCGGGGGTTGAGATCAGGGGTGAGGAATGTCTTGCATGGATGCATCGGGGGAGCTGCATAAGAAATGCCTGGCAGGCAGTGTGGTTGCTGGTTGTACAAGTGTCTTCACAAAGGACAGGGTATAATGTATTTTGGATCTGCATGATTGTTCTTCTTGATTACCGTAGATACTGCTCTGGTGGACCTGAGAGGCAATTCTGGGATGGTGGCTACAGGGCCTGAGAGGCAGGGCCTGGATGGCACGACGGTCACGCCGTGGTATCATCAGAACTGAGGCCCCTGTTGCGGCAACAACTGCTTGGGAGTTGTGTGTGCTATGAGGATCATCACAGAGAGTGATGATGGGGGAAAAGGAGGTGAACTGACAATGATGAGGAGAGGCTTGTAGGCATGGAGTGTGGATAGAATGGAGGTGTGTGTAAGTTGGTGTCTGGGTGATGCTTTGCCTTGTATAGCCAAGGCTAGGCGAACGATAGTGAAGTGAGCTTGTGCGTTGACCTCAGTTGGATTGGATGCGGGTGGGGTTCAACTAGTCTCGATGGCCCGACTTGGCTGCAAGCTAGAACTTCCACCACTGAAATCTTTTGTGAAGTTCAGGATGCTCAAGTCTTGATCCATCATCAGTACTGTCATCGCCCGGATATAAGACATATATGTCTTATCTCGTACACTATTCAAAATGCTTGAGTAATATTGTATTTGGGACGGTTTAGGGTGTCTTATAAGTCTTATAAATGGAAAAAGAACCGTTTAGAAGATACCCCCTCGCTATACAATTGCCCCTAACTAACCTGGCTTAACTCGAACACACAAATAGGTGTCATATAATGAGGCTAGCCTGTTTATAAGAGACACCAGAAAATAGACAACCCCTGTCTACTATTCAACACTGTCTTCTATCCGGGCCATGACGGTATGATAAAGCCCAATCCAAGCCACGGCATTTATTTGTATGATGACATATCTGTTCATGTACCTCATGCATGTCTGGCAGCTTGTAAGAGTTTCCGTGGTCCATGATCCATGGGACAGAAGGCAGAGGTGAAGCGAAAGTGGGCGGTACCATGTCCTACATGCCTCTAAATCACCCACACCAACAAAGACATTTCACCGTAACCTTGATGCACCGTATAATAAAAGTGCATGGTCATAATAATACAAGAGCACACATCGCACTACAACAGTTTCCGCGATAATCAGGACAAACACGGCATCCATACACCAAGAAAAAGAAACAGATTCAGCACACCAGAAGCAGCATTGTTCATCCAGCCGTACAACATCTCCGCTCCACCACAGCAGGGGTCAGTCACTTCTCTCTCTAAGACATAAGGCCTCTCAACTCAACCCACCTGTCCCAAACTGACAAGTCCAAGAGGTGCTTAGCTGTAGGTGGCAGACACACAAACCTGCAATCAACAATGCAGCATTTGAGCAGGAAGCAATGGAGATATTAGACGATGCTCGACATTCGCACCGCATTTCAGCGCAAGCATGTAGCGCAGTGCAGGCAACCCCCACATCAGAGCAGCTATACACGTCACGCAATCAGAATAGCTCACATAATCAGAGTCGGTCTCGCTCTCAGCATCACGGAAGGCCAGCCACGGGTTGAGCCTGACAAGGTCCAGGGTGCTGGCTCCATTGGCCACGGCAAAGCGCTTCCAGTTCACCACACTGGGGGCCAGTGCGCGGCTCACACAGTCCCAGTTGGCCTTGGCGGGTTCTCTCTCCACACACAGAGAGCGGAACGCAGGGAGGCGTGAGCAGGAGTTGATCATTCCGGGGTTGTACCTCCACAGGTCCTCCTCATAGATGTTGAGAAACTTGGCCACCGAGGCGCATGTGTCATTCTGTGGAAGTGAAAGGCAGCAGGAGGGTGAGAAGAAAAGAGGGATTGGGTGAGGAGCAGGTACCGCTGGGGTTGTACCTCCACAGGTCTTCCTCGGAGAGGTTGAGAAACTTTGCCACTGAGGCACATGTGTCATTCTGTGGGGAGAAGAGGCAACAGGGGAATAGAGGAGAGGAGGGTTTGAGAAGAGGTGGATAACATGGTGGAGACAAGGATGCGGCAACATGGTGGGAACGTCTAGCGAAATGAAGGACCGAGTAGCAGGTGGTGCATTTTCCGCTTGGGCGAACCATGGTAGGGCAAAGCATGGTAGGGCAAAGCATGGTAGGGCAAAGCATGGTAGGGCAAAGCATGGTAGGGCAAAGCATGGTGGAGTGGCACGCGGTGAAAGGAAGGAGTGGGGTTGAAGAGGAAGTGCAATGCATGGGGAAATTGCTGAGCACATGGCAGCACATGGCAGCACGTGGCAGCACATGGCAGCACATGGCAGCACATGGCAGCACATGGCAGCACATGGCAGCACATGGCAGCACATGGCAGCACGTGGCAGCACATGGCAGCACATGCAGCACGTGGACCACATGGCAGCACGTAGCAGCACATGGCGGCACATGGCAGCATGTGCCAGCACGTGGCAGCACGTGGACCACATGGCAGCACATACACGATGCATACATGATGCATACACAACGCGCACACGATGCATTCTAAGTCTGACTCAGAAGTCAATTGCATACCAGATGGAAGTTAGAGTGGGACACGGGAAACTCACAGGCTGGACGTAGTAGAAGGCAGAGCAAGCTGGAAAATACTCCTTCACATTCACGTACTTTGTACTGATAACCTTGGAGCAATCAATACCCTGGGGGGGGAGGGTAAGTGAGAGAGGGAGGGGAAGAGTAAGTGAGAGAGGGAGAGGGTGAGTGAGAGGGAAGGGGTGAGAGGTTGAGAGTGAGGGAGGGATTGAGAGTGAGGGAAGGAGTGAGAGAGAGGTAGGGGGTCAGAGAGAGGGAGGGATTGAGAGAGAGGGAGGGGTTGAGAGAGAGGGAGGGGGCGAGAGAGAAGGAAGGGGTGAGAGAAAGGGAGGGGGTGAGAGAGAGGGAGGGGATGAGAGTGAGGGAGGGAATGCGAGTGAGGGAGGGAATGAGAGTGAGGGAGGGAATCAGAGAGAGGGATGGAGAGAGAGAGAGGGACGGGGTGAGAGAGAGAGACGGGGTGAGAGAGAGGAAGGGGGTGAGAAAGAGGGAGGGGGTGAAAGAGAGGGAGGGGGTGAGAGAGAGGAACGGGGTGAGAGAGAGGAAGGAGGTGAGAGAGAGGGATGGTTTCAATGAAAGGGAGGGGGTGAGTGAATGACAGTGAAGAAGCGGCAGAGATGTGCAAAATTGATATGATTTGACGTAACATGGTGCCACATGGTGCGCGAATGACTCTAATGCCCCCAACGTCCTCGACGTGAAATAGTGCCACGGTGCCACATGGGGTGACATGGTGCGTGAATGACTCTAATGCCCCCAACGTGCCCAACACGGGACTCACCGGGTTCATGCCCACGAATTCCTTGAGCGTGAGCCCAAACATGGAGTACACGTCCTTGCACGTCCAGTCATCGCCAGTGACCTCTTGCACCTCACGAGACTCCGCCACCCTTGCTGCACACGATTAACAACCACCGAGAAGACGCGACATGCATAGATAGCTAGGTGATTTCTGAGTCAACTCAAGAAGCACCTCCATTCATTGCCAGCGGCCTCTTGAATCTCACGAGACTCCGAAACCCTCGCTGCACACGCACAATAGAAGTGGTGAAGACGCAACATGCATAGATAGCTAGGTGACTTTGAGTCGACTCAAAAGGCACCTGCAGTCATCGCTATTGACTTCTTCAACCTCACAAGACTCCGAAACCCTAGCTGCACTGCACACGATCAACAACAATTCTGAAAGGTCTCAAAACCATTGTCCGTCACGACAGCAGCACACAACCGTGACAATTCGTCTGGTAGCAGAGAGAGCAAGCTTACCACAACAACCGGAAATCTTTTGGTACTTGGGCGAGCAGATGCAGGAGAATCCCTGGGTGCCACTGTAGAAGCACGAGCCCACCTTGCAAGGGTTCAGCAGCGAGTGCAAGCTTACCGCAACCGTTGGAAGTCGTTTGGTACTTGGGCGGGCAGATGCATGTGAAGGAGCTCCGGGCACGGCTGTCGAAGCACGCGCCCGCCTGGCACGGGTTCTGCCTGTAGCTTCCACATGGGCCCGCTGAAAGGGACCAACGAAGGGTCAAACGAAGGAAGCAGAGGATAGATCTGAGGGATTAGATTTTTGAGTCCACTCAAAAGTCAGCTGCTGTCGAAGCACGAGCCTGCCTGGCACGGGTTCTGCCTGTACATGCCACATATGCCCGCTGACGAGGGACCAACCAAGGCAGCAGAGGATAGCACTGGAGGGGTTAGCAGTGGAGTGGCGCGGAGGATAGAAAGGGGGGTGTGCAATAACAAGGATTCCCGTTCCATTGAGCACAGCGGCCCACTGGAGAGGGACCAACGACGGCAGCAGAGGATAGCAGTGGAGGGGTTAGCAGTGGAGGGGTTAGCAGTGGAGGGGGATGCGTGGGGCAGGCCGGCAGGCGGCGCAGAGGAGAAGAGGAGCATAGCATTAGGCAGTATTGAAAAGCTATTGATCCGACAGCGAGCTTCTCTTGAGCGCAAGTGACGCCAGCTCCCCACAGGTAGCGGGACGGGGAACAAATAGATTGGGGCTTACTGGTTATCCTCTTTAAGTCCGGGTACTCAGAAGGAGCTGACGTGGCACCAGCAGGTGTTGTGTTGTCGCTGGCAGGTGTGGTGGTGTCGCCGGCAGGGGTGGTGGTGGTGGCAGGTATGGTGGTGTCGCCGGCAGGGGTGGCGGTGGTGGCAGGTGTGGTGGTGCCACCAACAGGTGCGGTGGTGGTGGCAGGTGTTGTGTTATCGCCAGCAGGTGTTGTGGCGTCGCCGGCAGCTGCGATAGTATCGCTGGCAGGTGTGGTGGTATCGCCGGCAGGTGTTGTGTTGTCGCCGCCAGGTGCACTGGTGTCGCTGGTGGGTGTCGAGGTGGTGCTGGCAGTTGTTGTGGTAACGACGCCACCAGTGATGCAGCGCGCGGAGATAAAAGCGTTGCCAAGGGGCTTGGATCTGGGCACGGGGAGGGCAAGGCACGGGGAGGGCAAGGCACGGGGGGGGCAAGGCAGGGGGGGGACAAGGCACGGGGGGGGCAAGGCAGGGGGGGGGCAAGGCACGGGGAGGGCAAGGCACGGGGGGGGCAAGGCACGGGGAGGGCAAGGCACGGGGGGGGCAAGGCACGGGGAGGGCAAGGCACGGGGAGGGCAGCATGAGAGCAAGGTCGTTGGTCATGTGGGGTTTGAACGAGCGGCTTCGGGAGCAGGGAATTAGTGAGAGTGAGTGTGAGGGTGAGAGTGAGAGTGAGTGTGAGGGTGAGAGTGAGAGTGAGGGTGAGACTGAGAGTGAGAGTGAGGGTGTAAGTGAGAGTGACAGTGAGGGTGCGAGTAGCATCAAACGCTCACCTCTGCTGACCATACACGAGAGAGCCGAATGCCCTTCCACTGCAGCTGGAACCGCGGAAGAACAGCATCTTGTCGCAAGCAGCCTTGCCATCCTGCTGCCACGCCACCTGCACCTTCAAGGACCCGCCGCCCAGGCTGGGCACAATGGCGACACAGCGGCGCGACTTGAAGGCGTAAGAGACGCCGTTGACCTTCATGCGCGTGCCCACCAGGGCTGCCGCGCTCGCCGCCGGAGCAGCTGCTGCGACTGTGGGAATGGGACACGTGGGGTGGGGGGCGCACGGAGGGGGGCGGTGTGTGCGGCATTGGGGGACCGACCATGAAGATGCGAGTGAGCAAGCCAAGTTTGGGCCTTTGTCGCTGTGTGAGGTGCAGGCTGACTATGCGAGCAAATGAGCATGCGAGCGCAGGAGAACACACGATGCGTACCCGCGATGACGACCACGACGGCGAGCAGAGCAGCCATGACGGCCTTGCGAGTTGGAGTCCCCATCATGCTGGTGAATCTTCACCCTGTGCGGCGGTACAGGCAATTTTCAAGGCCCCTTCAAAATTGCTGAATCTTCACCCTATGTGGCGGTACAGGCTCGAGCTGACGTTGCTGGGCTCGCGAGAGGCGCCGAGCAGACGCGGCGGGGCTCGGGGAGCAGATGATGTCACAATGCAGGTGCTTATGCACGCCTCTGGATCTTCACCCTTGCGCGGCGGTACAGGCTCAAGCGACGTTGCTGGGCTCGCGAGAGACGCGCCGCAGGGAGATTGCTGCTACCGTGACGCGGCTGGGAAGAGCAGAAGATGTCGGAATGCACTAGTCGGAGGGAGGAGTGGTAGGAAAAGAGTGAAACCGCACGGGCGGTGATGCTACCGGTTGTAACAGACGAGGCGGTGAAGACCCGGTAATGAGCCACGGTATGGACGAAGTATGCTTAAATGGTCATCGCCACGTCACGCTAGCAAGTGCACTCCGAGTGAGCCATTGCCTCACTCGTCGCCTGACGACGCCGCGCATGATCCGCCTGGCGTGCGGCGGCGCAGCGGGTATAGGGTGACGCGCACGGTGCCCGTGAAGAGCTCGAGCGCACGCGGGTGATGCAGCGACAGCGCACGGCGAGCGAGGGCGCCGTGACGCAGCGGGTATAGGGTGACGCGCACGGTGCCCCATAACGAGCGCGAGCGTGCCTATGACGAGCGCGAGCGTGCCCATGGCGCGCGCGAGTGCTTTCGCCGTGGCCGACGGCTGCGGAAGTCATTCCTGGGAGAACGCGATCCTGTCCTCTCCAGCCAATGTGGCTTCGAGTGATATCTGTGGATTTGGAGTGGTGTTATTGGGGTTCCAGCCAATGAGGTATAACCGCTAGGAACGTGTCCGGGACAGACCCCATTTATATGTTAATGGCCGTACCTCCTCTCCGGCTGACCGGGATCAAATCTCGGTACAATTTCGATCACAAACTTAGTCGATTTTACTAGTCGATGTGACACGTGATTGAGGGGCCACATGTGGACTGACGACCCTCCTCTCCGGCTGACACTAGGAAAATCTGACGGCTTTTTGCAAGATAGAAACGCGTTCCTGGAAAACGCCCGAACCTCGTGTGACTGACAGCTCACGCCTATCCAATTGAAACAAACTCAATTATTGAAGCGATTGAGAAACACGACCCTCGAAAACTGGGTTCAGTTGCCTGAAATTCGACAACCCTTCGTTAGAAACGAGTTGCAGGGCGTAGAACATGGCATAGAGCCCATTTACTTTATGATACATCAATCTGTTGAACTATAATAGCATCATTAATACATACTGCCTAATTCCACCAACAATCCTACGTGACATAGCGATGTCGACCCTGTTTCTCTATCAGTGCAGCAGCATGGTCAGTGTGGACGGACGGTTGGTTATGCTGCCAAGGAGCGGGAGAGGAGGAAAGCGGTGGTCTACCATCCTTTTCTGCAGCGGCACAAAGGGGTTCGTTTCGTCCCGTTGATTCTTGAGACTTGGGGCTGCTTGGGAGGAAGTTTCTGTCAGTGGTTGCGACAGCAAGGGGATGTTCATCTAAAGGTGGCACTAAACAAAGGGGTGGGAAGGGGCAACAGCATGGGATTCACAGCATACTTGGTGGGGTCTTTGACGGTCGCGGTGGGGGTAGCTTTGCATAAGGCACAGGCTCGGGTGATCTTATTGCAGGCAGCTTATATGCTAGGGGAGGCCGAGGCAGACTGGGTGGATCGGAGGGGTGAGGAGCAGGAGATTGGGGGGGGAGTGCCATGGGTGGATTTGCCATACCGTCATCACCCGGATATAAGACACTGTTGAATAGTAGAAAGGGGTTGTCTATTATACGGGTGTCTCTTATAAACAGGCTAGCCTCATTATAAGACACCTATTTGTGTATACGAGATAAGACATATGTGTCTTACAATCGAAACTGCAATATATTAAAGTGAAAATTGAAGTACTGCGTACATTTTTACCCTTTCAACATGCGAATTCTGCCACGTGCTGACTCACGTACTACCAAATTTGCCTCTGCAAGTATTCTCCATGACGTGGCGCCCCGAACAATGGTTGCCAAAGTCACACCTTCGCAACATCCACACTCATAATAAGAAACTCCTTTCAAGATGTGTGAAAATCTTTGGAAATAGTTTAAAAAAAAAGTTTCCATTTATAAGACTTATAAGACACCCAAAACCTTGTCAAACTTATATGATCTAGCCTATGTAGGTTGTAGCGGGTTAGATACTAAAGGGTACACAATTCTAGGTTTTCACATTTGTATCACTTTCATTCCTTAGTCATTCATTCTCGTTCTAAGTTTCTCATGGTATCGAGCAGGTTCCCTCGTGGGAACTGTTCCTAGGGCCCACCAAGATTTTTTTTTTCCTACCCGGGGCGCGTGTCGCCCCTACCCGAAGCGCGCCTAGTGTCCCGCCCTTAGCGACCCGTCGCGCCCTTCTTAGCGGCCCCTCAAGCCCCGTCGCTGCCCTCTCTAGGCCCCGCGTGGCCCCTTAGCGGCTTCGTCGCCGCCCCTTACGGCCCCGCGACCGCCTCTTACGGCCCCGCGACCGCCCCTTACGGCCTCGTCGCCGCCCCTCACGGCCCCGCGACTGCCCCTTACAGCCCCGTCGCCGCCCCTCACGGCCCCGCGACCGCCCCTTACGGCCTCGTCGCCGCCCTTCAGCGGCCCCGCGACCGCCCCTTACGGCCTCGTCGCCGCCCTTCAGCGGCCACGTCGCCGCCCCTCCGCGGCCCCGTCGCCGCCCTTCAGCGGCCCCATTGCCGCCCTTCCGCGGCCCTGTCGCCGCCCTTCAGCGGCCCCATTGCCGCCCTTCCGCGGCCCCGTCGCTGCCCTTACGCGGCCTCGTCGCTGCCCTTCAGCGGCCCCGTCGCCGCCCCTCAGCGGCCTCGTCGCCGCCCTTCAGCGGCCTCGTTGCCGCCCCTTGCGGTCCCGTCGCCGCCCTTCGCGGCCCTGCCACCCTTCCTCGACCCCTCAGCCGCCCTTCCCGGCCCCGTCGAGCAGTCGAGCCGCCGTCACCGCCGATCCGCCGAGCCGCCCTTGCCACCGTGCCGCCGAACTGCCGAGCCGCCGAGCCGCCGAGCTGCCGAGCCGCCGAGCCGCCCTGCAGCCGAGCCGCCGAGCCGCCACGCCGCCACAGCCGAGACGCCGCAGTCCCTGTAGTCGCAGCCCTGTCCCTATCGGCCTTCCTCGGCCCGCCCCACCTGCCTGGTAAGAGCAGCGCCTCTGCCACTGCACTGCCCTACCCCGCTGCTCTCTCTGCCAGTCTACTGCTGTCATGGCCACCCCCAGTGTTCTCACCTTTGACGCTGAGGGTCGGGCTGTTGACTTTGAGGTCTGGGTAGATGATCTGCAGCTTTTCCTACAGTGCGATAGGGCGGACGGTCTCTCTCTGTTTGACCTCACCTCTGGTGCCTCTCTTGCCCCTGCTGCTGATGCTGACGCCACTGTTCGCTCACAGTGGGCCACGCGCGATGCTGCTACTTGCCTTACTGTGCGCCGCCACTTACCGACCGCTGAGCGCGCGCATTTGAGTCAGTACAAGAGTGCTAAGACCTTGTACGACGCTGTCGTTGCACGCTACTCTTCCCCTGCCACTACTGCCCTTAGCCGCCTCATACTACCGTACCTCTTCCTTGACCTCGCCGCTTTTCCCACAGTCACCGACCTCATTACGCACCTTCGCACTAGTGATATTTGCTAGCGCGCTGCACTTCCTGATGAGTTCTGCGCCAAGAACCCCCCCCCCCCCCCTTATCTACATCACCCTCTACTACATAGTCACTCGGCTCCCTGACACCCTTCGCTCGGTCAGGGACCACTTCCTCTCTGTTTGCCCCACCACCCTCACCGTTGACCTCCTCGAGGAGCGCCTCCTAGTAGCAGAAAAGAGTATAGTCGTTGTAGGAGCCTCTCGTGGTGACCCTCGTACCCCTGTCTTTCAGGGGTGCTCCCCCTCCCCCCTCTTGCCCTCTATTGCCTCTGCTGCTGCGGCCGACCTCGTTGGTCTTGAGTCGGTCGGCGCGGCGTCTGCCCCTAGCGGGAGACGCCGCTCAGGCAAGGGCAAGGGGGGCAAGGGCGCTAGAGGAGCTGGCGGGGGCAGTGGAGGCGGCGGTGGAGGCGGCGGAGGGGGTGGGGGTGGCGGTGGGAGTGGTGGCGGGAGTGAGGGCACTAGTGGCGGCAGTGGAGGCGGAGGAGGCAGCGGTGGTGGCGGTGCGAGCGGAGGTGGTGGAGGTGGAGGCGGTGGTGGAGGTAGCGGCGGCGGAGGTGGAGCTGGTCGGGGCGGCTCTTCGCAGAGGGTCGGCTCCGGTGGTGGTCAGCGCCAGCAGCAGCAGCAGCAGCGCACTCGTGAGACCCCTTCCCCCCAGCAGCTTCGTAAGTGGTACACTGCTCGTTAGCGGGGTGGGGGTGCTGGCCCCTGTACCTACGTTCTACGTACAGGCGACCGCACGGGTGAGCAGTGTGGGGGTCCGCACTCCACCCAGCGCTGCTTCGGCCGCCTGACGGACGCTTGGCGTCATCAGTTCCCCGACGCTACTGAGATCCCTCGCTGGGGCGAGCTGTTTAGGGCAGGTGTTGCGATCTTTGATCTTGATTATGATGCTATTCTTGTTGCAATGTATGCTGTGACTATTAGTGATGAGGGTGACTGTTACCGGTGTTTTCCGCCTGACCCGGGCATTGAGGCTGCTGCTCTAGGTGCTGGTGAGGCTGCTGCTCTAGGTGCCAGTGAGCCTGCTGCCCCAGGTGCTGGTGAGTCTGTGCTCTCAGGTACCGCGTCGGCTCCGGCCACCCACACCTTCACCCTTGACTCGGGTGCTTCCCGCTCCTTCTTTCGAGACCGCACCACGCTTACGCCGCTTAGTCGGCCAGTGGCAGTCTCCCTGGCAGACCCCTCTGGGGGTCCTGTCCTTGCCCACTTCTCCACTGTTCTACCGTGTCCGGCGGCTCCTTCTGGCACCCTGTCGGGTCTTTACCT